GATCTGATTAACAAAACTGATAAACCGATAAAATACATTGATGGTCATTGAGTTTCTCACTTCAGAGAATAAAAATGTTCCAAGCATAAAAAAATCTAAGGTTATTTCATATTTCATATTAATAAAAAACGGTTATCTTCATTCAGACTTTAAAAGTATTTGAAGTACAAAGAGATGCCTGAGATCAGAAAAACTTAGGTCTAGAGGTAGACAGAGTGATTTTTTTTTAAATAATCTGCCATAAACAAAACTGAGAACAAAAAACTAATTTAACAACGGGTCAGTCTAATACAGCGATTCTCAACATGGTGGGGCCCGGCCCCTCTAAGGGGGGCACCAAAAAGCACAGGGGTGCCCCAGTACCTTGTCTGTTCTCAGTCTGTTCAGAGGTTGTGAAAATATCAATTGGTTGTTTGTAAATCATCAAAAGAGTTAGAAAAAATGGATTATTTCTTACATTTTCAAAATAAAAGTTTTCTTCTTCTTTTTTTGAATTTATTTTGATACAGAGATAAAGGCTGAACGTGTCTTTGGGCGAGATGGGGAGTAGTGAGGGATTGGGTGGGGCTCAGATGGGTTTGCTAACACTATGACCAGAGAGCCTGTTATGGTAGGAGTGCTTATTTTCAGGACAACACCTGCAAAACCCAAATGAAAGGGAACAAAACTTTATGCTAACCTATAAAACAATCATATTTATCAGTAAAAATAATTAGACTTTAACTTTTCTTTTTAATGAGCCTTTTACATTTATTTGCTTTGACAAAATAATTTTCCTAAAACTTTTTTTTATATCAAACTTCATTCATTTCTTAAAAAACAAAATTCTATATACAATAAAAAGAAAATACAATTAAACGAAAGGCAGCAGAGAAGAAAAAAATATATAATATCTGCCCCTTTTTTTCTCAAGCATAAATTCAAACAATAATCATCTTCAAAACTAAAACTGATTTCAAAGCCAGTCATGAAAAAAAAACCTCTCTAAATTTCTAAATTACAGGCACATGTAGAATGCTTTGTGTTGGAAAAAGAAAGAATTTTAAATATGGTCTTAAAATAAATAAACAAACAAAACAGCTTCAGAAATCGTCATCGGCCACTGAGAAACCTAATGGGCCGACCTCTGTTCTGCTGTAATACATTCATCAGTATTATGGGCTGTGTGTAACAGTTTAAACTCTGCGGTGCACTGAAATTGCAGGCAGCGTGACCTTTACCTGAGCTCAGAGTATCAAACTGAATAAATTTCATAACTGCTTTCCCATCTTAAATCAGAGTTGACCTTTACAGGAGGAATCCAGTTCCTCCCCCCCAGAGTTAATGACGAGTTTCAGCACCTTACCTCCGTCTGGACAAGGTAGTTGCGTTGTGTGCGTATATGTTTGAGAAAATCCAGGACGCTGACTGTGCTTTTGTCCTTGATCTGTTGCAGCATGCTGTCGATGACGATGTACGTTCCTGTGCGCCCGACCCCTGCACTGAAGAGCACAGTGCAAACTAACGTGAGTGGATTTTTCTTCTTTTTTCTTTTTTTTAATCAAGTCAGCAGAAAACAGTCATTAGGAGCACTCGTCTAACCCCTCAGAGCTCAGCAGTGATGGCGTACCTGCAGTGTACCAGGACGGGACCCATGTCTGCAGTCCGAGCCGCCGACGAGCGGCTGATGAAGGTGAGGACAGGAAGTGTGTACTCCGGTACTCCCATGTCGGGCCACTGAGTATAGTGATACTGAATCACAATGCGCTCATTTAGCCTCCCTTTTGGATTCCCCTTCTGACCCTGAAACATTAAAACTCAACCGTTAAAATACATGGTACATTTCAGTTTCTACATTAGCTGACTCTATATCTAATGTAGAATCTCAACTTTATAGGCAGTGGCGGGCAGCACTAATCTAAATATTAGATGCACTAACCCTAAAGCACTAACTCAACTATTTAGGAAAATTTAGCAAAAGCTAATTCTAAAGCACTAATATAATCCAGTTGACACATGAAACATTCTTCATTCAACATGAGCCAATATTTACTGTGTGAAGAACATTGTCACTTAGTGCCCTCAGTGGGCCAAATGGGAGTCACCTGCAGGCCACATTTGGCCCACGGGCCTTGACTTTGACATGTGACCTTGTAGATAAGTGACACACATTAACAAAATGTGTGACAGCTTTCACCCTCAACTGTTAACAATAACGTTGATCAATAACATTTAAAGACCTCAGTTGGTGCTTCTAAATTTAGCCCATAAATTTATCAAGTACTAATCCACTAATGAATTTAAAACATAGCAAAAGCCCTAAAGCACTAATCAGGAAATTAATTCCCCTTTTAGTGCTTTAGGGGAACTGTGCCCATCACTGCTTATAGGTTAAGACTTGAAACATTGTGGTGGCAAAAGATTACCGTATTTATTCATGTATAATACGATCTCATGTATAATACGACCCCCCCCCCTTTTGAGCTTAAAAAGCATAAAAAATTTAATCCTCAAACTACCTCCAATTTCATACAGACTTCAAGATTTTTCAGCCTTTGCAGTCTTTATACATATCAGTAAAATGATGATTGGACTGTTCATTTTATTTTAATAACATATGTACTTAAAGGTATTTTGACAACAAATATATATCAGTTGTAGCAGCAGCATCATATGAATTCTGGCATTTTACACACAGTCCACCAGGATGCACCAACACAAAAGTCAGAGACTTCACATGAGATTTGGACCATCTTGTGGAGGAAAAGCAGATTACTTCCTACTCGCGAGCGCCCCCTSTGGTGRRGAAACTTTTTTCAGGGATACAAACTTTTTCAGAACACCGGTAGACGGCAGCCATTACAGGCGAACATGTGTTTGTTGTTGTTCCAGGAGCGGCTCGGTCACACGCTAATGTCATTAGTTCACTATCATTACTAAGGTGCAGGACTAAATGTAAATGTAAATGTAAACACAGAAACAAAAATGTGTAAATTTATCTAATCGTTCATTTACTATATTTTGTCTATTTTAGATCTTGGCACGAGCTAATATAAAACACCACAGCTATCTGAATGTGGACAGAAACAACGTAAAATCTACCAAACAGCTGTTCACACAAAAGTCTTGATTCAAGAACATAAAATAAGTGCAGGTACCTTTTTAATTTTTGTGTTCCTTATAAGAAAGCGGCGCAGCGTGTAGCAGGCGTGAACTTTGGTGCTTTTCAGCGTCACCACTATGTTTCCATACTGTTCGTTGCTCTCTGTCGGCCAGTATTGGTCACATTTTCTCTGAAACACACAAAATCAGAGGTTTTGACATCGGAGGAAAAGTCATCTGTGGATTTATTCTCAGCTGGCGAGCTAAAAGGGAAACCTACCCTCCCCTTTTCCACGAGGTTGGTGATCATGACGATGATCCCAGTGTTCTGCTCCCACACCATCCTCCAAAAGTCCTCAAACGTGGACTTGAGGGGACCCTGAGCGGCTATGTAAGCTCTGGGGTGGTTGTAGCCCTGAAAAAGGAAAAATTGGCAATCCTTAAAATATTTCCTAACATTTCTTTTAATTGACTCTCACTTTCAGTGGGCGATAAAACCCCCACTTCTTCATCTCATAGGAACTGTTAGTATTTAAGTACATGATTCAAATCCCTCAGTTTTTACAAGTGCTACTTGATATTCTAAATAAAACTGTAGAAAAACGGCAGCTCTGTGAAACATTTTTTGGCAGCTCTAACACCCAAACTGTGACTTGCATTCATGAAATAAAAAAAAAGCCAACAAGTCACGAGTAAAATGAAAAACTTACATCTACATAGTTGGCGTTGATGTAATCCGAATGTTTGGCATCTTTCCCCGGCAAAGCTCTTAATTTCACCCTGCTGTGGTCATCTAGGAAAAAGCATTGATGTATTTAGAGGACTCATGAAAGGGAAGAAAACTTGATCTAAAACACATTATTGAATCCCACAGCGGTAGACATCCTAATCAGATTTTACAGCTGACTCACAGGCCACAATGTTGATGTATCTGTTTTTGTGCTTGTTGTCAGGATGATTGGAGTGTTCTGCTGTGATTTTTAAGTCGACTGTGGAGCGTTGGACCTCCTGGAGAGAGAAGAAAATAGTCAGAAAAGGATTTCATTAAACAAGAGGAGATGAGCTAATAGAATTAGCCGCTTGATTTCCATGAAACTGTAACAATGGTGTTATAATGACAGATTCTTGTGATCCTATCTTCCACTCTCTTTTTTTCTCCCTTCGCCTCTGCATAAGGAGCTCAGAGCCCAAGATGAAGTGAACTTCCAGCAGGGACTCAGTGTCTCAAGGACGCTTCAGCGGAGCAGATGCTTACCGCCACTGGGGCTTGAACTAAAGCCTACAGTAGAACAGTCGTCTTCTTTTCCTCTTCACTACACTTTGGTGCATTCAGCCGTCCACAAAAGGCAGTCACTTCTAACACGCCTTCATCCTGGTGCATTTGAAAATCATGCACACCAGCCTCACATCAAATAACCCCAATTAGAGGAACACTCTAGGGGTGACGCTTTTGCCTTATTTCTTAACCTAGTTACACAGAATAAAAAAAAGTGTTCCAAGCCAGTCAACCAGCATAAAGGACCATCTCTAATTAACCTTCATCTCTGATCTTTCGCTCTATCTTTCTCTCCATCTGGTCAGAATTACTGACTTCTCACACAAACAGAAAGAGTAATACATTCAAACTATTGTTCGGATGAGAGAACGTGCAGAACTGACAAACACCACCGGTGCTCGGCAGTTTATCAGTCTGTGCAAAACTCAAGAGAAAAGACAAAAGCACGCAAAGGTTTTGTTCTGTCATGCTTGGAACAAGTTTTAAAAAACAAAACAAAAAAAAAAAGCAGCATAAAAAATGCTGGTGTAGATTCTTTGTCATCCAGCARAACATGACAGATCCCAATAGTTCTTAAACAAAGTGACTGGGCAGGAAAACAAAGGAAGAAGCAGGTAATAAGTCCAGTCGCTTTGTTTTAAAAACTCGTAGGGCTCAAATCAAATCAACGTTTTTGCAGCGGTGAAAATGTACCTCAAACTCCTCAGCGAAACCTTGCATGTTGTTCTTGTAAAGCTCCATGACGTGTTTGACAAACTGCTTGACGGGGATGGCCTCCATATCATCTGCAGAAGAAGTAAACAGGCTTTGACGCAAAGTGCTCATTTTTATCTACAATTCTAATTCTGACTAAGTGAGCACATTGTAGAAATGTCATTTACAACAGTATACTGTGAAATGYAACTCTAACAGCATTTCAGAGAAGCTGAATTTCTCAGAGGTAAAGGTGGGCAGAGGTTCACCAGACTGGGAGAAACTTTGTCTAAAATTTGTGGTTTGTTTTTAAATCCCAGTGGGGGCCGTGGATTGACTTTCATTCATTTTCTGGTAATTTTATATCCTAACCCTAACCATTAACCCTAAAATTAACCTCACAGGTACCTACCTGACCCTAAAACTAACCTAAAATCGATTCACACGTTGGTCCTAAACCTAACCCCGTACCCGATATTAGCATCCGTACCTGTGGGGACCAGGCATTGGTCGCCACGATGCAAGCTCGGCCCCCATGACGCCGCTTTTTTCTGGAAAATGGTTCCCACAATGTAGACAAAACGTGCCCACACACACACACTTTTTTTTTGTTTGTTTTTTAATGGCAGTTTTATTACATTTGGGTAAGTGTGCAGCGTTCTGGAGAAATATTTATGCTCAAAGGACAAGGCCTAAAGTCAATAGGATGTTTGGTCATTGCAGTTAGGTTTTATTTACATTTTTCACAATGTCCAAACATTTTCAGAATCCAGAAACTGATTATTAATCAGTGTGTATTTAGAAAAAGAGGAAATAATTCACCAGTTTATTATTATTACACTAATTATTGTAATTCATCATTTAGCAAAAGCCAAATCAGTCACAGCGAGTTGATTTTCAAATTAAGATTTATTTATTTCCTTTAGCAGACTAAGCTCATGAACCCCTATATCTGGGGTTTGGGAGGGTTTTATAGGAGGGAGCATCTGTTTCATCTGAGCCAAATCAGCCCCAAATCACACATGAAGGATGTTTGATCGGGCTGGTTGGCACAAGACGCACCAATGCAGAGGACTCAGCTGTCACAGCTGCTGATGCGGGACAATGTCTTAACTAACACACCTCTGCAGCTGAGGCCTGTCGGGCCTTTACATGCTTCAGTGGCTGCAGCAGGAAGGTGAATTCTCCTTTATTAATCTGGTCATTTATCAATGTAGCTTCTGGAGGTACGGATTCTAATGGAGCACAGCTGATTAGGCAGTTTTATAAGGATGTAAAAGTGGTGAAAAGCTWTGTTCATGCATAGGGTTAAATGTACCGTGGCTCTGTGTCTAGTTCTTAATTATGTATGGATTGATTCAAAAGAATAATACAAAAACTTGGAGTCAAGATAAACAATAAAAAAATGGAAGAAAAATGGGAGATAGAAAGGAAAGTGGGGAAAAACTAAAGAAACRATGAAAATAGGAACATAAGATAAAAGGAAAGGACTAACAGAAATATTGAACTGGAGAAAAGAATAAAGGGAAAGAGGAAGGAGCATAGGATGAAAAGAACAAATGAAGAAAAAAGAAGGAAAGTAGGAGAAGAAGGAAAAAAATAAAGGAAAAAATACAGAAGGAAAATAAATAAGGTAGGAAGGAAAGGAAAAATAATGAATGAAAGGTACGCAAAACAAAAGGGGAGAAAAAGGAAATACTGGAGGAAGGAAAGAAAAAAGACAAGAAAGAAAGGAATAAAAAGAAGGACATGTAGAAACAAGCAAGAAAAACACAAAAGACAAACAAAGGCAAAGGCAAGAAAAACAGAGAGGAAGAAAAAAAAAGAGCACTGTGAGTGAAGGATGTGGTGTGAATGCCAGTGAAAGCTGCTCTCGGTCTCCACGCTCTCGCTGCCTCAAAACGTCCCTGAGCTTTAAGAGACTCTGAGAGTAAAGTCTGATATCGACAAGCTGCCACTGCACTGCTGCCTGGGATATTAAGTGCAAAGAAAAGCCAGTCACTCAACTTCTATAAAGCTGTTCAAAGAGTCACTTCACATGTAAATAAACAGAGACTGCACGCAAAGATGTCAAGGTAAAACAAGCAACCATCTGAAAACCATTAATGAGGYAGAGTAGAGGTGTGCTTTTATCTGCTGACAGATCCCTGAATGGGAGTGAAGACCCCGTCAGCACATTTCACTTCACTATATAAATAAATATACTTTTAGGTTAAATAAAGGAATATAAACTTTGGATTTAAAAGAAATGATTTTAACTGCTTTATCTTCTCATCATCCTTTATTTGACAACTTATGAACCACATTTCAACCGTTTTTATATTTTTGTTATAACTGTGCTGCAGTATCTTACCAAATCTAGAGAACTGCAAGATGTTTKGAACACTATTTATGTATGATTTTTCTCAAACACACATGAAAAATAAAGGATGTCTCACCTGGTATGGGGATGATTGGGATATTCTCATTGGCCACCACCCGTGGAGAGCTGCTCTCCTCCACGTAGAAATGAGCCGTCTGGAAAAATCTCCTACAGGGACACGGAGCGATAAGACCAGTGAGAACGGCACGGTAAATACACCCACTATCATCAGAAATGATGCAGTAAAGTGTATTAGGGACTTGTCCTCAGATGTAGTCTGTCAACATTAGCATAGAAATGTTGAGGAAAATGACAACAGCTGAAAAGTCCTAATGAAAACCCCAGAGTAGCCGAGACACGGCTGGTCGCACGCAGAGCGAGCGGCTCCTGGAAACGCAGTCTAATCAGGCATTGGGGAAAAGGTTAAACTATGTACAGCGACTCACAGAAGCACAMCGCTAAATTTGAGCCTTTTAGGCAAACTGAAGACAACTAGTCAAAACATATACTTTCTTCTCTACTTTTAATTCTCCCACACAGAGACAACAATTAAACCTGCTTTTTAAATGTGCATTTTTGCATCGGTTTTTTGTGTTTAGAATTTTGATTTCCAAAATTAAGTCAGTGAATAATTAAAAGTACCTTCAAAAACTAAAAAAAAAAAAACAATTATTTCTTGAGCAAATCCTCACAAATTTGACACAGGTCAAGGTTTAAAGTTTTCAGACTTTCAAAAACGCGTTAGAAAGTCAAAATAATTTGAGATTACCTACATTATTTAGCAGGGGATATTTCAGCTTTGTAAAAGGGCAGTTTTTGAGGTCAATGTATTCCATATTCAAGACAAACTTCTCCATGGTGTGAAACCAAAAAAAAATCTACAATTCTAACTAGATTGAAAACAGGAGAGTGGAATATTTTAAGGCCTGCACACCTTGCATATCTACCATCTCCTCTAACATAAATGTGTTCTGATAAATTCACAGGAGCTCTAAAGATCCTAAAGTTAATCCTACCTGTACTTGCTGCAGAGGAGGGAGCAGATGCTCGTCATTCTTAAAGAGAGATGAAACAAAAATAATAAAAAAAGATAAAAGGTGGCACGGCATGAAAGAAGGAGAGAGATGGAGAAAGACACGACAGGGGAAAAACAAATAGGGGGAGGAGAGTTCCAGCCCCCCAGTTTGCGTCACTGCCTCCTATGCTAATGACTCCCCTCCAGTGCAGATGTGGTCCAGCTACCGAAGCGGTACAACCAACATCTCCTYGCTGGCTTCCTGTTCCTACAGCTGCAGAAGAAGAGTTCGCTTTGAGGAAGCACAAACTGGGATTAAACCTTGGGAAATGTGAGCTTTAGCATCCACAAGGTATTAAAGAGAGTTTGGACTTGACCTGACTTCATTCCAAATAGATGGTTCTCATTGACATCATCGTCCGGGTACTTTTTACTGTTCGCGCCATGTTTGTGGGCTAGCATTTAGCTTGTAGCTAGGAAAACAGTACAGAGGAATATAGCCAAAAAAAATAAAATAAAATAAATAAAATAAAATAAAAATAACTAAAAAAACAGGCAGCCAGGTGCTAACAGGACACACCGCAATACTGTCATAAACACCATAAAAATATGTATACCCGTATTTATCTATATATATCTTAAAAAAGTCAAACCGGTGCTGAGCTTTGGTGTTTATCCAGATATTAGATGTGAGTTTACTTTGGAAGCGAGAGATTAAGAGTGGGGAAGGGAGGGGTGAATTGCACAGTGTTCAGTGCAGTTTTACTGTTAATTTATAGTCCTCCACTGTTTTCTAAAAAGTATAACGTACTATGCAGTCTTTCACTATCTCAAGCGGGCTGAAATGCAAAAAATTCTGTGATTGGGTGAAACCTTTGCGGTTGATTCTCGTTAGCCACAAAGGACTTAAATTTTTTTTAAAAGATGCTTAAAACGCAGCAAGAAGGTCACCGGTTCAAATCCCGYCCCGGGGATCTTTCTGGGTAGAGTTTGCATGTTCTCTCCGTGCATGTGTGGGTTCTCTCCGGGTACTCCGGCTTCCTCCCACAGACCAAAAACATGACTGTTAGGTTAATTGATAGCTCTAAATTGTCCCAAGGTGCGAGAGAGTGAATGGTTGTTTGTCTCGTTTGTCTCTATGTGTGGCCCTGTGATGGACTTGCKACCTGTCCAGGGTGTACCCCGCCCCTCGCACTGTGACTGCTGGATATGGGTACCAGTGACCCACGCAACCCTGAAAGGAAGAAGCGTGTACAGAAGATGGACGGATGGATGGATGGATGGATGGATGGATGGATGGATGGATGAATGGATGGATGCTTAAAACATTGTCAGGCTTTCCCCCAGAAAACTTGCTAAAGCTGGGGATAGTGAATGGGATGATAATGTTTTGATGAAGTAATTCCAGTGTATAGCCACCAGGGCTATACACTGGAGAAAAAACCTAACGCTTCAAAAACAATACTATTTTATTCTGTTAGTGCTCACAAATATGGCAATTCAATTATGTGATCCGGAAGTTGTTACGTCACTTGAGAACCATTTATACCTCAAAACCTCAGAAGATTTGAGATGTGTACTGTACCCCAACGATAGTTTCCACAGTGGACATCATTCTGTCCAAACAAGCTAAATGTGTGGATTAAATACCAGACAACGCCTTAAAATGTCGACAGAGTCCAAAACAAAAAGCATTTATGAATGACCTGTGGTATATAGTTGAAATAATACATTTGCAACCAGATGATGTAGTTTACTTTAACGGGTGCGTAGCCACCACAAAGAGTTAAGAGAGTGTGAATTTCGTCTCTCCTTGTGGCCTTTTCCCCTGGGGAGGTAGGCATTGTCTGTGAACTGTCTGAGCTGTCACAACAACAGCTGCTGTAATCTCAAAGCTACCTCTGCGTTCCTTATTCAAGTACCACAACTCCCAGTAATTCATCCACCGACTGAATCCGCTACAGTCATCTTCTTCCCAGCTGTCTGTTTTTTTACACCTCTACGGAGCTGATAGCCAGGCTTTTATTTATATTGCAACTTTATAATCCGCCACAGTAAGGTGCAATAAACATTTGCAGCAGTGATCACACAGAGCAGCGCAGTCCAAAAAAAATAAAGTACGAAGAGCAAAAACAAATATAATCTTGCACAAGTAGCCACAGTAAATACGTCTGGCACCAACTGAGGAAGTGGTCTGTAGTGCTATTTGTTTCTCATTAAGCGCCATCCGACATGTGCTGGTGGCCTGGCCTGTGTAATTACTGGGGCTCCAGTGGCGTGGCTGGAAATTAGCCCAGCAGATGAAGACACAGCTGGGACCTGTGCTGGAAGCGCAGGGCCTTCAGGTCTCTTCCCCTTCACCCAGTGGGGTGATGGGTCTGATATGCAAAATGAGGCAGGGGGGAGAGGAGATTGATTTGAACCAACACACCCAGACCATGTTTGGCTGCATTAAAAAAAAAATCCAGAAAGTGTAAAAAGACGACACAGCCGTTGTAGGTGAGAGGCGAAGAAACATGATCCAGTAAGAGTCTTTTCAAGATGAGACAATTTTGTAAAAGCACTTGATCAATGACCTTTAACTCTTCTAACAGACGTTTGTAGCAGCGTGATGCCTCTGTAATGTGGTTATGTAGGCTTACTGAACTCTTTCTCACCTCCAGTAGACCATCACGATCAGCAGCACGATGAGGCACAGCAGAGTGAGAGCAGACACCACCACCAAGGGCACGATCCACACCATCCTGCCCATTCCTGGGTGGGGGGTCCGTGTTGGGTTGGACAGAATAGTTGGGTCTAAAACAAAACGCAGAAACAAGTTCTGCAAATTTACTAGTGACACGTACAGGATTATTCATCAGGAACATAAACAATAATGAATATCTATACAAATAATTCTGTTTGTCAATATATTATCGGTGTTATAAAGTCACAAACACTATTTTTTAATCTTTTCTCACACATAACTGTTCACTCATGCTGACTTTGAAAAGAGTAAACAAAAAGTGGGAAAAAGATATCTTCAAAAGTATTTATTTTATTTTATTTCATGGTAATAAAGTAGTTCGTGATGATTGAGTTTTACGTGAGGACCTTAAAAAAATTAGGGTGTTTGAAAAATAAAGTTATATTTTTTTCATAAAAAACCTATGAAGAAAAAAAAATAGTTATGCAAATGATGGAGGTATAGACATGCTGGTGATTGCTAATGTCAGTCAGCTGTGGTGACTACCTTGCTTGTAGCAGATTTACATCTAAAGGTTACCTTCTAAATCATGTGTCAAACTCGAGGCCTGCGAGCCAAATGTGGCCTACCATGGCATTTTATATGGCCCGCGAGATCTTCAAACATCTATTAATGTCTTAAAATAAGCTTGTTTGAAGTCAGCACTGTCCGTAAACTCTCCCATAATACGTGTTGATTATTTTACCTGCAAACTGATGGCATCACACCACTAAGTGGAGGTGCACAGGATTCAAAAGTAGCTGGCACTTTTGTTGAGACCCAGTTATACTGGGAAGTGGGAATTTCCCACTTACAAGTTGGAAATTTGTAAGTGGGACAGAGAATGCTCCAGTGTTTTTCAACCCTGGTCCTCAAGGCCCACTGTCCTGCATGTTTTAGAGGTTTCCCTGCTTCAACACAGCTGCTTCCAGTTGGTTACTAATTATCAGGCTTTTGATGAACCGCAATCATCTGAATCAGGTGTGTCAAAGCATGGAGACCTAAAACATGCAGGGCAGTGAGCCTTGAGAACCAGGGTTGAAAATTGTATTTCTTCTATCACTGATTTCACATTTAGTCAGTCATACATGTACTACCTTTCWKTGTTTATAAGTGGACATGTTAAAATGCTGTTTCTATGCAAGAAATGTCATGTAGAGCCCAGTTATTGTTTGTTTGCCGTGCTGTAAGACAAGAACGTGATGTTTTGTTTTTAGTCAAACACCAAATGTCAAAATTAATAATGTTTGTGTGRCCCTCAGTGCAAATAAGTTAGACACCAATGTTCTAAGAGTTTTAATTAAATCTGCCCACTCGTTCTTGAGATCACTGTAAAACTAGGGATGACCAAAAACACACAAACACAGGAAAATGAATGATACCAAAAACACAAACCCTGCCATTAGCTGCATGAGACATATCACAAAAACTAAACCCACACATATCAGTAAATTAAAAAAAAAATGTTAGACTGGATCCTTAAAATGATTCCAACCATAACCTTCAGCTATTACACCCCACAAAAAGATTTAACAGAACCCTGCAAATTGTTTCTAGTTCTTGTGCAAWTCTTATCTTTGCAAAAATCCTACATTTATAATTGACTGTTTGACAATCTACGTTCATGGAATTTACCATTTCTAACACTACGATGGCAGAAAAAAAAACCTTCACAAATTCTTTCCCTTGAAGCAAACTCGTTTGAAATCTGCTTAAAGGAATTCCTTGAGGCAGAACCCCTCTGGCAGACAGCCGTCTCCTTCCTTCAGGCCTCTGTGTTGTAGTGACACAAAAGCCTGGAGCTTTGTCTTTGAGTGAGATGGTAACTAGTGTATTTACGGACTTGTATCAACTTATTTGTTCGCCTAAATTGGACTTCATAATGCCGATAGTGTTTACAGAATTCAGTTTCACATTATAGGTGGCTACAAGAGATCAAGGCTTCATAAGAGTTGAAAAAACATTTTTTTTTTGCTTTGAAAGGGATTGAACATCTGTTTGAAGGGAAAAGATTTGCTCACCGGTGTGAACAGAGAAAGGCCATCTATTTTCATCATTAATCTTTGGAGATAGTGTAGAGCTCTGGGGGATCTGCATCTCAGCGCTGTCATTACGGGGCTCCTGAGTGGAAACTGCAGTTACTTCTGTGGGTTTCTTCTCCTTGTTGACCAAATGCTCATCATCAGTGCTCGCAGGGACCGTGTTGCCTTTAACTGTAGGTTTGCCCTCTCTTTTCTCTTTGGCTGTGGATGCGGGGGTTGGGATTAAAGGCTCTTCGGACACAGTGCCGTTTGCTTGTTTCTCCGCATTATCAGGAGGATTTTTGCCTTTTCTCTTCTTCTCCTCCTCGTCCTCTTCCTCCTGCTCTCCCTCTCGCTCGCCCTCCTCCTCCCCCTCCTCACCCTGACCTGTGGCCTGTTTCTCCTCGGGCTGCTTGTCCGTCTCCGCCCCCTGCGTTGCCGTTCGCTCCGTGTTGGGCGTTGCGGGCGGGGTGGACGGACGCGTCGGGTTCTGAGCGGCGCGAGGCGTCTGCGTGGGCCAGGCGGAACTGGGCAACGACGAAATCACCCCTCCGCCGACGCCCAAACCCGCCAGCAAGGTGCTCGTTACCACGGACGCCACCGTGGCCTGGCTGCCGCTAGAGGAGGGGCCCATCCCGGTTGCCATGGAGACAAGAGAGAAGTGGATGCCAGAGGACGTCCAAGTGGAGGAACCAGAGCTGATGGGAGCCATGTCCGCCGAGGAAGCCGGAGAAATGGTTGGCTGAGGAGGACAGGCAGGAGAACAAAGTGGTCACACAACACAAAAATGACTTTCAGCCCATTAAGACATTCGCACTGCCATCTTCTGGTCAACTAACCATTCCAGTCTTCACAATGCGAGACCCTTCGAATATTCTTGTTGTGTTGGCTGCAAAATAAAAACAAAACAGATTTTACACTTATGTCACGTGTTTTTACTTTTCATAGTCCAGACGTTTTGAAGTGGGTTTCTGTGGAAAAACTGTAAATATCTTTATCTTTATTTATTTAMAAAGGACAATGCATACAAAAACATAGAACAGATCAAGTCTGTAACAGATGCTTTGCAGAAAGAGTATATAGCTATAGCTAATTTGCAACTCCAGGCCCTGGTTGGGCATTTCTACACAAGTAAAATACAAACAGTTTATGCATCCATATACACTTAAAATACATAAGCATGTCTGCCAACAAATTCATAAAATCAACCAATACAACTTAAATAAAAATTATCAAAAAATTACACAAAACTTTAAAATACATAAAAGTTAAAATTCTGAAACAAACAGTTCAAATAACCTTTGTGTGTATCTGACACCTTACGTGTGTCAGATATCTCTTTAAATAACTTTTTGGTTTAAAGTTTTTTTTCTGACTGGATTGATTAACAAGATAACAACTAGTCTGAGGGGAACCAGGTTTAAAGTGGAATACTTCTGCCTTAAAATAACATCACAATAGTTCATGCAACTGGCTTTTTACAAACCCTTAATTTGCATTATGCAGTCACTCCAGCAAGTACGGTACATTCCTGATATTTTTGCTGCAAGTGTTTCCTGGAAGTGCTAAAGCACAGATAATTATTGATGTGGCTTTTTTTTTTACTTGCAAAAAGCAAAATAAAAGCTAAGATTATGTATAAATAATTACATGACACAAAGCTGGTGATGGTGTAAAAGTGAATAAAACAGCATTAAAATCACTACACTCATTAAAAGATACAACGTTTTGGAGATTAGAGTTGCTTTAAGAACCATTTTTCTGGTCAGAAATAAACTATTTTATCTCCAAGGCTGTTAAAAGAAAGACAATTTTTTTCCATACCCTCCACTGAACCCTGCTTCAAAAAAAATTGAACAGTCCCTTTAAGGACCTACAAATTTAAGCAACCCAACGACTTTAGAGGTTTGACCACGTACCTCTGAACAACAGCGTCTGGCTGAAGTCACTGCGCTGGTCATGCTGACACACTGCCTGCACTCTGAACAGGTACAGGATGTCAGGGGATACATTAGTAATAATTGCTTTCTGCAAGAGAGAGAAACACACACAGACAGATACATTAGCCGAAAATATTATGAGTGCAGCAGAATTACTGTTAAAAGAGTGGATGCTGATGGCTAAAATGAAAATATATTATGTAAAGCTTCAGTCCTTTTTTTTTGCCTAATTTGTTAGTGTTCACAAATGGCTAGAGTTATATTAAAAATATCCACAAAATTGGATGGGTGATTGCCTCTGTGGTAGTGGAGCTAGTTTATTTTCTCTTTCTTGGTAATAATTCAGATAAAGTTTCCAGGGACTGAAATTGAAATGGAAATGAAAGCAGGCAAAATAAGAGAAACTGACATCTGAGAGAGGAGTGGACAATAATGACAGAAGTGCAATTATACGGCCATGGCACCACATGAACGCAGTAATCATTCTTTCAATCATCAATTTGAACAAAAATGGCAACAATAGAAACATACAGCTCCTAATGAGACAAAGATAAATAATTAAAAAAACAAATACATTCTTTTCTTTTTATTGGAAAATTGCTAAAGGAAAAAAAAATCACTCAAAAGTCGAACATATTTTACCAGTCATAACTCACAAAAAAATCTTCAAATATGAGTTTTAAAAAATGACTCCTCTTCACATCTTCCGCCTACACAAGTTTCTCCACGGTATAGCAGCCCTAATAGAGAAGACTCTGCCTTGTTGTGTCTCACCACAAGTCCACAGAAAATAGAGAATGAAGACCAGACTGTAGAGATGTGACAGTTGTGCCAGACAACCTCRGGGTGCAGTATGGTTGATAGAGAACTAAAAGGTCACTGAAATGTTGCTGCAAATTGCCTGGAGTAGCAAATAACCAGCAAAGGGAGATTTGAAATGAAATGTTTTCTATGTTTAAAATCAAACGGCGCCATTGTGGCAGGTTTCTAGAGGAGCCGCGATTAAGGCAGACTTCTGAGCGTGCAAAATCCAAGGAAAAGGAAATAAATATTAATCCGTCTTTAGCTGAGCATAGCATTAACTTAATTTGGAAGGCTGTCCTTGACAGCAAGGAGCCTTTTTGCATATTCATTTCAACTTACTTGTCCATCACTTCTAAGCTTTTGCGACTAGATTCTAAGTTAAAGATCCCCTCCAGGCATCTTTTAAAAGGCGCGCAGCATAAAGACGAGCCGCACACAAGAAGTTGTGAGCAAACCTGTCTTTATTTCTTATCCTCTCTTTTTACCCTCGCGCTAAACAGTGCAATTAGCCGGCTGAAAATTCCTAAAATTAACATCTCCGCCCACACATCACTCCCAACATTTATGAATATTCAAAKTACCTCCGTTTTCAGGGAGTAAATGCTGAACGCAGCATTTCTCCTGACTCATTCAGTGGATGTCTGCAATAGAGGCATCAAACATGTGTAAGCTGGATATTGGACAACAATTTGCTTGTAAACTAGCTCCAATGTCACTAAATMATCTTTGAAAATGAAAGCAGATGAAAGGGAAAAAGGCTCTTTAGTGCCACGCTGAACGTATTTGGAGAATGGCGCGGCTGTAAAGAAAAAGCTCATCGGATACTTCTCTCTCTCTGTGCAGCGTTCCATGCTGTAAAAAGAGTCACTAAAGCAGCAACAATGCAAGACGCATCACCGGCCTCTAACCCACAGCGGAGCCAACTGCGTATTTTGGAATGCATGACCAGGCTGGAGGTTGTGGTGTCACCAGGGAACTGATCCCAGGATTCTGAACCGGTGGGTGCATGTTTTGACCCGGTGCTGTTTATATCTAAAGAGGCAGTCATGCAAACTATCAAGACAGCTGGGGTCAGCAGGCCTTGAAGAAATGCACAGTTGGATGTTGGATTCCCAGAAATGGAAAAATGTATGACCGAGAAGAAGACTACGCAGTGAAAAAAAAAAAGAAAATAAATAAAAAAAGAGAAACCCAGTAAGTACAACCTCCTGCAGAGGGAAGATTTATTTCTGTAGACACGGTGGATGTTTTGCTAAAAGATACAGTAGGAACTGGAGAGGTATTCCGATGTTTAAGGCAGCTGAGCTGAGTTAAATGATCAGCGGATCAGAGATCTTAAGAACTACATTTGCTCTGCATTTGTTATTAAAGGAAGGCTGTGTTCAAAGAGCTCTCTCTCCTGCCTGAAACCAGATCAGGATTTTATTTTATTTATTTATATATTTTTTAAATTCTCCCTGGTTTTTCTTACTGGTAAAATAAAAGTGCAAGGACCACTGTTGTTTATACCTCTCCGGCTTAAATTAACTTTTTGACCTTGTTATAGCAGATATTCACTTCAGAGACTGATTCACATTTAAATGAATGCAAAACCAAAAAACAAACAGCAATAGATGATGGTGAGTTAAAAAAAATGTTACATCTGAGTAAAGGCCACAAGRGTTTTTGTCAGCTCATTATACATATATCAGTTGTGATGCATCAATGTCTGCGACAGGCCTGTGTTTCTATTGTTAGACAGGTGAGTGACAGCGGAGCGTCTGGGTCCTCGTATCAACCAACAGCCACATGCAGAGTTCATCACAACCTGTCTCCCCCTTTACACACCGCCACTGATCCAGCCAGCGTTTCATCCTGACAGATACATCTGAGGCTCCGCACTCCAGTCAGAGCTGGTTATTGTGAAATAAAGTAATTCAATTTAAAAAAAAAAAGAAAAGAAATGTCCAGTGGTTTGTGGTTTGGCTCACCATGCTCTGGTCCCCGGTTTTAGAGAAGGTCCTCTCGTCGGCGACGTCCCTCTTCACCCAGCTGTAGGAGACCATGTAGCTGGTGATGGGGGGGTGATAGATTGTCAGGGGGCGTTCCCAGCTCACGATCAATGCCGTCTGGTTTAGCGGCTGGATCTTCATGCTCACTGGGGCGCTGCTGCACACTGGTCCGGAATAAAGAGAGCAGTGTGAGGMGGAGGCAGCAAAGGGGAAAACAAACAACCCCCAAAAATAAAATAAATGAAAAAAATAGCTTTTGCATCAATCTTTCACTGACTGCATGAAGATGGAGAGGTGCTTGATCATATTTATACCGAGCCTGCTGAATGCAGGTTGCCTCTTAACATCCCCTTCTCTGACTCCTGAAACTTGATTTAAAGCCATTTTCAAACTGAGAATCCTCTAAAGGAGCAAAAGAATACAGTAACCTAATAATAAAAACAGTCTTGAAAGCTTTACTGGGGTCAGACACAACTTCAGGTGGAGGTGTAGATTATCACGATTCAGATCTGTGCATTATTATCTCGCCAGACTACAGACGATTTAAGATTTAATTTGGCAGCTTCCCACCCATTTCCAATCTGCAAGTTGCTCAATGTAGTATGTATGAGGTGAATGA